CATATCTTGAGAATCACTGTTCTAAATAAAACTCTGCAATGCTAGGACAAATATCTGCAAAGGTTAGAGTCACTGTGAGCTCATCAGTTCATAATCCATTTCTCATTCCTTGCTTATTCTCTCAGTGCCTACCACACAGTGCCTGGCACATAATTGGAGCCCAATGAATGTTTTGAGGAAGGAAGATAAGTTAGTATTTATTGAATGCCCTCTACCACGTGGCAGGCATTTTCCCTCCACCAATGTAGACAGGCACTGCTATATGTATTCAAACATATTAAAATAATATTAAGTCACTCAGCAGTTTGAGCTGGTGGACTAGTCCTTCCTTATTGAACAACTCTTCTCCAGGCTCTGGACCACCTCTCCTCCTGGTTTCCCTTCTGCTTCACTGGTCATTTCTCTTAGAAACCCTGGCTGCTTCCCCCTCGCCCACCCCGTTGGACCTCAGAAAACTGAATGTCCCAAGGAACTCTTTTTCTGATGACCTTCTCCTCTATCCCTAGATGATCTCATTTAGTCCCAGGGCTTCAGATAACATCAACATGCTGACGTCATCCAGATCTGTTATTTCCAGCTCAGACTTCCCCTCTCACCTCATACTCATTAATCCAGTGACCAACTCGGCCTCTCCACTTGAATATCTTATAAACATCTCCAGTGTAACAGGTCCAAAGCAAAATCCTCACTTACCTCAAGCCTACTTCTCTCCCATCTTTCCTGCCTCAGTAGCTATCGTTCCCATTTGTCCATTGCTCAGGCCAAAAATGTAGGCATTGTCTTGGGTTTCTTTTTTGTGCTGACTTTCCAAAACCCCTTCGATCAGTTTTGGCTCCAAAACAGTTTCTAGTCCAACTTCTTTGTCCTGTCTCATCTGCAGCAACCAGAGCTGAAACCTCTTTTCTCTATGGCAATAGCTTCATAATTCATCTCTCAGTTCCCACACCTACCTCCAACGGTTCATTCTCCACTGAGCAGCTGGAATGACTTTGTGTTAGGGTGAATTAGACCACAACAGTTCCCTGGTTAAAACCTGCTAAAGGCTTCCCCCCAACAAATAGACCCAAATCCAAACTTCTTAAGGCCAATAGAGCACGACTTCTCCATCTTCATCTCCTACTACTTTCCCACCCACTAAGTGCTATGAAATTCCAGCCACCCCAGCCCCCTTTCTTCTTCTTGAACATAACGAGCTTCTCCAGCCTCTGAGCTTTTACCCTTTCTAGCTGCTATTCCATGTAATGCTCTGCTCCAACCACATCAGCAAATGTGGTTTCCACCACCCATCATTCTGTGTTCCATTTTTATTTTCTTCAGGACACTTATTATTTAAAATTATTCACGTGGTTGTTTACTTAAATATTTGTCTGTATCTGGCAACTAGATTGTTAACTCCAAGCAGGCCAAGATTTTGTCTCTTCAAAGCTGTATTCTATTTTTTTTTTTTTTTTTTTTTTTTTTTTTTTGAGATGGAGTCTCACTCAGTCACCCAGTCCAGAGTGCAGTGGTGGGATCTCAGCTCACTGCAACCTCCACCTCCCAGATTCAAGTGACTCTCCTGCCTAAACCTCCCGAGTAGCTGGGATTACACAGGCGCCTGCCACCAGACCCAGCTAATTTTTGTATTTTTAGTAGAGATGGGGGTTTCAGCATGTGAACCAGGCTGGTCTCAAACTCCTGACCTCAGGTAACTGGCCCACTTTGGCTTCCCAAAGGGTTGAGATTACAGATGTGAGTCACTGTGCCTGGACTGCACTCTGTTACTTAGAACAGTACTTGCAGGGTGGTAGACACACACACAAGCATGTTGTTGAGTGGAGGAACTGTAAATATATTGCTCTTTATAGAACACCATACTGATGCCTCTTTAGGTATTATGTTATAATTTGATCACAGTGTACTCCACTATCTAGATAATGGATTGTTCCAATCAGTGATAAATTCACACATTCAAGTCTGTTCTTAAATCCCAAAAACCAAAATTTCAAAAACATAGGCTTGAGCTGCTAAGGAGAAATCTCATGCCTCTGTCTTTACGTTTTCTTAAGATTTATTTTGGATCCACCACCATAGATTACAGTTTTAACACAACATAAACCCTGTCTGGCTAGTTATTTTTGCAAAACATTAGAAACACAATCCAGTTTTTCATTCAGGTCCTCCAGAATATCCTTGGACTTCAGTCTAATAATTAGTCCAAGTTCTCATATCGACATTTTGACAGTGATTCTAGGCTTTGTGGTGTTGTTCAGTATTTTGTGTTACAAATTTGGGCCACAGAAAAAAAAAGTAAAGTGAATCCATGCCTCTATTTGTTGACAAAGAGATCTTTTCACCTTTGAAATTCTATTTCTATAGCGTTAAAAACAACAGAAATTTCCTTCTGGCCAGGTGGTTAGGATTTGAAATGTCTTTGTATTTTGCTTTAAATTTGAAGTTCACATAAATTTGCTTAAATTTCCTACTGTGTCTAAGTTAAGTCTCCTAGCAGAATCTTTCATAAGCATGCAGGAGTAAGAGCAAGATTTGTTCGTCCCAGTCAAAACCAGCGAGACTCCCTTGTTCCCAGGGCAAACTCTCTTTGTCCACAGGTGTGCACTTTCTCCTTCTCATGTTTTTGTGCCACCTCTTAAAAACCCTTGACTGATAATGTGCTTCCCTTGGTTAAAGCATACCTGGTATTCTAGTAACTCCTGAAACACTAAGTGGCTATCTTGCACATTGCTACGTTAGGCCTCCGTTTGTAGAAGTTTATCATGGTTCTTCTTGCTGATATGCCCTTTTCCTGCAGGGTTCTTCCTCATTAGTCTTCAGTAGTGGGCTTCCCAATGCCCCAGCACTGAGGCCTTCTCTCTCGTTGCGTGCTCCTGAGGATTTCACCCACTGCAGCGACAACTCCCAGCGACGGCTCCCATCTCTTATCTCCAGCCTTCTGCCCTTTTCCTAGCATTGCCCACTCTGTCATCTATTTATCAGACATGTGGACAGTCTAGGAACATCTCAAACACTGCAAATCCAAAACCAAACTCGCTCTCTGCCTGCCACCACGGCCATGTTCACTCAGACTCTTCTCCTTCTACAGCTTCCCAGTTCACATCATTAACAGGACAATTATTGGCTCATTTTCCCAAGCTGGAAGCATTTAATTTTTTCCTGAGCCTTTTTCTGCCTTTCCACTCATGACAAATAGATCCCTGAATCACATAAATTCTGCCAAGGAAATGTACCTCCAATGTTCTTCCTTTTGGCACTGACACTTTTTCAAAGGGTGTAAATTATCTTACTCTTTTGTGTCTTATGCTGAGATTTGATAATAAATAGGGAGTGTGTATACATATCCAGCTCATCATCTTAACCCACTCCTCCTAATTTTATCTTAGGAATGACGCCTGCCACCGTGCAGAGCAATAGAAATATCACCCAAGCCACATAGACAACTTTAAATTTTCCAGTAGCAACATTATAGAAATAAAAAGAAACACTGAAATTAATTTTCATACTGTGTTTAAGCCAATGCATCCAAAATATTAAAATTTCAAACTTGAATATTAGCATTATTATTAAGGTCTTTACATTCCTTTTTCTTTGTACAAAGTCTTCAAAATCGAGGGCTCAATGGTCACATGTGGCCAGTGCCTAGGTGTTGGGGTTGAGCTGGAAGGGGCTTACCCTAGCGATCCCATAGAAGATACACCTATAGTCTTGGTGAGAGACAAGGGCATATATTAAGGTACTTGAAATGGAAGCAAAGAATCAATCCATAATAACACTGAAAATATAAAGCAGAGAATCATAAGGCAAATGTAATCCAATTGAATATAAAATTGCATTTTAAAAAATCATAGCCCAAAGTACACAGAAGAAAACAGACCTTCAAGGGTAAAAGAAAATCAAACCGCAGCCCACAAGAGAAGCTCAGAGACAAACTGTACAAGAAAGGGACCTGGGAAAAGTGTCAGTAATTAGGAAGTGGTCGTGGAAGAGCAGAGTAGCCTGGGCATTTCATCCTTGTGCACATTTGAGCCCAGGCAGCTGCACACTTGCCTTTAGGCTCACAAGGCCCAGGAACTATGCTGTCAACAAAGGAAAAATTCCTCTGCTGGTTTATCTTTATGAGACACGGAGCAGAACCCTGCAGATGGGGGAGCAGGCAATGAAACTGAGCCTTTGATGCTGGAACTGGCCCAGCTTCAGGTGAAGCCCCGAGTGGGTATTCTGAAGTGAGGACTGTGACAAGAGATGCCAAGAAGGCTATGCTCCAGTTAAGAAAAAATCACCTCTGGCACCCCCCGGAGCAAAGCAGTCTCCCCCATCCTGCTCTCCCTACAATTACAGAAGGCAGACAGAAGAGATCAAGATGCACATGAAGAGAAAAGCCAACAGCATTTCTCATTTGGGTTGAGGAAATGTTCAGTCTTCAATCAGTCCTTCAACTTGAGTATGAATAGATACCTAAGAATCACCAAACTTTGAAAGAGCACCAACAACTACAAGAAGCATCAGATCAACAAACTGAAGAACTAACTCCCCCAAGGAGAGCTTGTCAACAGAAAAAAAACAAAGTCAACGTTCAGATAAGCATAACAACCAAATAAATATCATCACTTTATTCTCAAATGTTCAATAAAATAAGACCAAGTCACTCTTTTTAAAATTCCTGGGAGATACACGTTGTCAGTCCAAAGCAAAATGCATACAACTAAAGAATAAATGTCCTGGAAGGATTCCCAAAAATATCATGGAAAGAAGCATAGAGATGGAAAGAATGGGAAGAGTGATGTAGGGATGATGGGTAAAGCCAAACCTCAAACGTCTATCAGATAGGAATTACGGAAGAAAAGAACAAAAAATGGAAGAGAGAAAATCCTGATCAAATTAAAAGAAAATTTCCCTGAACTGAAGTACACAGCTTGGTATACGTTCAGAATATTCACAAATAAATAAACACATGAGTATATAAAGGTTCAGGCTGCAGGGAGAAGTGAACACATATTACTTACAAGGGAATGAGGAGCAGGCAGGACGAGACGTTTCATCATCAGTCGATTCTACATGCCGACAGTCATTGGATCACTTCTCCCAAGTGCTCGGGGAAAAGGAATGCTAGTTGGTTACCAGTTCAAACTCAAATTTAATGTGAACAAACTATGAGTGTTTTGGGCAGTTTACCAGATGACGTCCTTTCTGAAAGAATAACTAGGGAATTTACTTCTGCAAATGAATCCAAAAAAAAAAAGAAGGAATGTAGATATTATAAGTGGTAGCAAACAAAAATTCTTACCGCTGAGACCTAACTGCCTGATTGTGCATCATATATTTTTTTAAATCTCAAACAAAAATTCCCAGATCTTTTTGAGACTCAATATCCTAAGGTAATGCCTTTTACTATCTTGTACCAAAGAAGGATCAAAGTGTTGCGCATGATCTGTAAATACACAATGAAGGGATCCTTTACTGTTTGTGACTCAGAGTGCAAGAATCTGGTCAATCACATTAGAGTCCTGCATCTAGTTCTCCCTGAAACCTGAGCAACACGAGCCACTGCCCTGTGCCCTGTGTCAAAAGACCCCACTGTGGCTTTCCTCTGCCCAAGCCCCTCATGCAGCATGATGAGTCTGCGGGCCCCCAAGCTTTGCCTTCCCCTTGTGGGCCGTGCTCCAGGTATCTGGGATGCTAGAATTCTCAAATGGTCCTGAACCCCCTTCCAAGGCCTGCAAAGCTATTCTCCAGGTCTGCCCTCCCATTGCTGACCAGGTATCAGTGTGCACCCTCCTTGGAATGAAGGATGGCCAAGGAGTGAGGTTTTGCTGGGAGGAGGGAGTGATGTACAAAACCTGGACACGTTTGCGGGTGTCCATGTGTGTGCTGCTCATGCTATGGTGTGGATCCAGGTGTGGGAAAAGAAATGGGTGGGGCCAAGGGCTGGGGCCCCTCATTTGTATTCCTGTCATAAGTCCTAAAAATGTCAGGGACTGGCCTGCGCTCGCCTTTGACGCAGCAAGAACGACAGGGAGAAAAGAGAGAATTAAGTGCAGAAAGAAGAGGGATTGAAAAAACGGCTTAAGAAAAAAAAACCAGCCAGACATAGCAATCGGGGGAGGAAAAGGTGGGAGCGTTTGAAGTGTTGGAGGTTCCCTGCAGTAAGTACCAGAAAACCCAGCTATAAATGACCCAAAGGAGGTGTATACTAACTGCCACTCAAGCCGCAGGAGAGACGCCCCAGGATGCTCCCTTCCCTGCTCAGTGAACTCCTCAGGGCTCTGGCACCCTTCTCTCTTCTCTCTGTGTGTCTGAGGTTAGTGTACAGCTTGGCCTCCGTGGTCTGCTCCCCAGGGACCCAGGGCGCCCCCCCATCATTCTAGGTGATGCGCCAGGCCACAATGTCCAGTAGCAGGAAGAGAAAAAACCTGCTTTGTGTCCCTTTTCCCAGAGTAAGAAAAGCTCCTGGACTCCCCCAGGTCTCATTTGCCAGAACCAATCACGGGCCAGAGGAAGTGCATTTCCCATGTGCCAGGATTCACTAATACAGGGTCAGCCGTGACACCATGAGGGCCCGTCAACCCCAAGGCACAGGCCACCTGGACATTGCACACAATTGGGGTTCCATCAGCTGAAGAAGGGGCCTGGCTGGGGAGCAGGCACCTGCAGGGAGCAAGGCTAGCGGCACCAAGGACTGAACCTCACAGTGGTTCTCAAAGTGTGGTCCCCAGACTAGCAGCCTCAGCTTCACCAGGGAACTCACTAGAAATGCAGATTCTTTTTTGGTTGGTAGGCTATTAATCGCTGTCTCAACTTCAGCCCTTGTTATTGGTCTATTCAGGGTTTCAACTTCTTCCTGGTTTAGGATTGGGAGGGTGCAAGTGTCCAGGAATTTATCCATTTCTTCCAAATTTACTGGTTTGTGTGCATAGCGTTGTTTGTAGTAATCTCTGATGGTAGTTTATATTTCTGTGGGATTGCTGGTGATATCCCCTTTATCGTTTTTCATTGCATCTATTCGATTCTTCTCTCTTCTCTTTTTTATTAGTCTGCTAGCAGTCTATTTTGTTGATCTTTTCAAAAAACCAGCTCCTGGATTTATCGATTTTTTTGAAGGATTTTTTGTGTCTCTATCTCCTTCAGTTCTGCTCTGATCTTAGTTATTTCTTGTCTTCTGCTAGATTTTGAGTCTTTTTGATCTTGCTCCTCTAGCTCTTTGAATTTTGATGATAGGGTGCCGATTTTAGATCTTTCCTCACTTCTCATGTGGGCATTTATTGCTATAAATTTTCCTCTAGACACTGCTTTAAATGTGTCCCAGAGCTTCTGGTACGTTGTGTCTTCGTTCTCATTGGTTTTGAAGCACATTTTTATTTCTGCCTTCATTTCATTGTTTATCCATTCGTCATTCAGGGGCAAATCAAAACCACATTGAGATACCATCTCACACTAGTAAGAATGGCATTCATGCTGGCCGAGTGCAGTGGCTCACACCTGTAATCCTAGCACTTTGGAAGGCCCAGGTGGATGAATCACGAGGTCAGGGGATCAAGACCATCCTGGCCAACATGGTGAAACGCCATCTCTACTAAAATTCAAAAAATTAGCCAGGTGTGGTGGTAGCTGCCTATAATCCCAGCTACTTGGGAGACTGAGGCAGAAGAATTGCTTAAATTCGGAAGGCAGAGGTTGCAGTGAGCTCAGATTGCACCACTTCACTCTAGCCTGGTGACAGAGCAAGACTCCAACTCAAAAAAAAAAAATGACATACATTAAAAAATCTGGAGACAACAGATGCTGGAGAGGATGTGGAGAAATAGGAACACATTTACACTGTTGGTGGGAGTGTAAATTAGTTCAACCATTGTGGAAGACAGTGTAACAATTTAGATTTAGAAATGGAAATTCCATTTGACCCAGCAATCCCATTACTGGGTATATATCCAAAGGATTATAAATCATTCTATTATAAAGACACATGCACACATAGGTTCATTGTGGCACTGTTTACAATAGCAAAGATCTGGAACCAACCCAAATGCCCATTGATGATAGACTGGACAAGGAAAACGTGGCACATATACACCATGGAATACTACGCAGCCATAAAACAATGAGTCCGTGTCCTTTGCAGGGACATGGATGAATCTGGAAACCATCATTTTCAGCAAACTGACACAAGAACAGAAAACCAAACACCACATGTTCTCACTCATAGGCAGGTGTTGAACAGTGAGAACACGTGGTCATAGAGAGGGGAACATCACACACTGGGGTAGGCTGGCGGTTCGGGGGCTAGGGGAGAGACAGCGGGGGGCGGTGAGGCTGGGGAGGGAAAACACTGGGAGAAAGCCTGATGTAGCCGATGAGGGGACGGAGACTGCAAACCACCGTGCCATGTGTGTACCTATGCAACAACCCTGCGGGATGTGCACATAAACTCCAGAGCTTAATGTACAATTAAAAAAAAAAAAAAAGAAATGCAGATTCTTCGCCTTCACCCCAGATATTTAGAATCAGAAACTCTGAAGGTGGGGCACAGCAATTTCAGTTTAGCATTTTTATTTCTTTATGATGTTTTTAGAGATTGATTCTCTGCTCTGTCACCCAGGCTGGAATGCAGTGGCACAATCATAGCTCACTGCAGCCTTGAACTCCTGGGGTTCCTCCCCTAAGCCCCCTCATCTCCAACCCCCAAGTAGCTGGGGCTATAGGTACAGGCCACCATGTCTGGCTAAAGCAATTTAAGTTGTAAGAAGCCCTCCAGGTGAGGCACTTTATAAAGTGTGGGAACCACTGGCTTCCCCAGCCTCCTTCTCTTAGGGGTCAGAGTGTCATAAATCAGCAAAGGAGACCCAGCAGGCAGTGAGAAAAGACACCCGAGGCAGGGAAGCAGCGAGGCGTCAGCAACAGCAAATGCAATGAAAAAGCGTGCGTTTTATTTAAAGAGCTGATCAGGGGTAGGAAATTGATAAATGAAACGTAAATGGGTTACAATCAAGTGAAGAGTTTTCAAAAGAGGGCTGTGCATGTTTCAAGGCAGAGAAAAAGAATCCATTGGAAAGTGAAAGACACTGGAGATAAAATGATACTCGGGGAGGATCTTCCTGAGGTCTGTGAAGTAAGAGACGCTAGACCTCACTTTCCAACGTATTGACTACTAGTCTTGTGCAGCTACTGAGCTCTTGAAAAGAACCTTGTCTGAATTGAAATGCGCTGTAAGTGTAAAAGGCACACTTCATTCCAAGCCTTAGTGTAAAAAGAGAGGGTGTCAAAGAACCCATTGATAATTGTATATTGATTACATGTTGAAATAATAATACATTTAGATGCATTGGGTTACATAAAATACATTCTTAACATTAATTTCACCACTTTTTTCTTTTTTCTTTCTTCAGTGTAACCACTGGAAATTTTTCTATTACACTGTGGCTCCCATTGTGTTTCTTTCTTTTCTTTTCCTTTTTTTTTTTTTCCCTTTAAGATGGAGTCTTGCTCTGTCACTTAGGCTCAAGTACAGTGGTACGACCTCAGCTCACTGCAACCTCCACCTCCGGGGTTCAAGCAATTCTGCCTCAGCCTCCCGAGGAGCTGGGATTACAGGCACACGCCACCACGTCTGGCTAATTTTTGTATTTTTAGAGGAAATGTGGGTTTATGATGTTGGTCAGGCTGGTCTTGAACTCCAGACCTCTAGTGATCTGCCCAGCTCGGCCTTCTAAAGTGCTGGGACTACAGGAGTGAGCCACCATGCCTGGCCCCAGTTGTGTTTCTGATGGAGAGCCCGGGTCTAGACCACAAGAAAGTCTAATAGGTTTGGAGAAAAACTGTGTGAAAGAGTGTAGACGTTTTAGGTAAACAAAAGGACCTAAAGACAGGGCTGGGTACAACTGTTTAAAGATTCCTCTCACTAAAATTGAGTCTAAAATATTAAGCAGAAATATTTCTGCCTTTCAAAAGAAAAGCTGAGGCGATTACAAGGACGTAGAAGTTAGCCCATTAGTTACGAATTTAATACTGACAAGAGGAGTTGTGTTCACTGGATAAGAACCTAATGTGGTGCTGACATTTCATCCGTGTTTGAAAGAAATCTTTCAACGAGGTTGGACACAAACTTTTGGTGGGTAGACGA